AAATTTAGACCTGTCTTCTGGTGATAAAAATTTCCGTTATAATCTTGTATCAAATTTTCGATTGTTAGAGTATGAATTATTTTTATGTTATTTGATTGACTAGACTATAGAGTTGAACTGATTTTGATGATAATGAAATTACTCCGGTGAATTCGGCCCGACTTGATTTTGTTAACTTTCGTGTTTTTATATAGATTCAACTAATTATTTTCAGTTTACTATTATCTACTCATATCTATTTTCGATTTACTCTCAATGGTTTCAATGTAAGTCTTGTTTTTTCTCTTTATACCGAACATCATCCATCATTTTGATTTATTGACTCTCTTCCTTTGAAACTCAGGGGCCCTGGCAGGGCCCCTACATTGGCAGCGACGGCATAATCTTGAACTTCGGCCTTTTTGAAACCGTGTGTCCACTAATTTCTGACTTAATTGCAAATATTTAAATACTGCGAGTCAGCAATTGCAAATATTTAAATACTGCGAGTCAGCTAAAACTTGACTGACAACCATTTAATTACCATGGGTCACCTAAGTCTTGACTGATAACCATTTAAATACCGTGAGTCAGCTAAGTCTTGACTGACAACTATTTAAATACCGTTAGTCGATGAATATTAGATTACGGTCTTCTCCACACCATGAAAATACATAGTTCAATAGTTTTATTATTCTTACCCTAAAAGTCACACAAAGTGTACACTATTTACAAGTTTAATTCTAACTTTTACATACATTAGTAAGCTGAGTGTACTCAGTGTAGGCTCTATATGTATATAATATTTATTATACAAATGGACAATAAACTATAGAAAATGTTATTAGTGGTTAGTCTATTGATAACTCAAAGTATAATGGTGATTACTAATATTAATTTATTTATTGATTATTTGTCTTCATTTAAACGAGCTGAGCTTATTCGATGGAGGGATAAGGTCGCTGATCAAAGGCTGCTTCAGCGACACCGTCGTGAGCGCTAAGGCTGTGAAGGCCAGAAGAGCCGATCAAGCTGCTGCTCGTGGCTTATGAATGGTCCCGAAGCATCTTCTTTTTAGCGCATTTTTTCATTTATGAAAAAATTCGCTATTGTGCTCGCCATTTCCGTCTGTCCGTCCGTCTGTCCGTCCGTCTGTCCGTCCGTCTGTCCATCTGTCTGTCCGTCCATAACTTCACGTTTTCGTCGACGAGAAAATGCGCTCTCTGTCACTCACTGCAGTGAGTACTGAGTTATATTTTTTTATATTTAGGATAAAGCGGGCCTATCATGACGTTCCAACTTGAAAAATGTAATGTTTGTGAAATATTATTGTAGAAATTATGTTACTCTCCTTATTTCCACCCTTAGTGATTTTAAATAGAAGAAGACAAGCGCAATGTAATTTCTTTATGTTCGCGTCCTTTCTAAAATTATGTTTACATGCGTAATTCTCTGCACGCAGATACGGGAACTGAAGTAATTCAGAAGTGAACATTATGATTGAGCATGCAAGGCAATTTGCAAGCATGCAAGAAGAAGAAAATAATAAACATAACATGAACTCAACCACTCATCGTTCTCAAATAAAATAAGAATTGCCACTTGAAAAATTAATCGAATTCTCTGAAAATTGATTTGACAACTTTAGTTATTACTTCAGTTTTCCAGCATAACCCAGAATAATTTTAGTGAAATTATTCTAGGTCAATTGAAAGATAATATTGACGCTTTAAGCTTAAATTAAATGCGATATGAGTAATATTGTGGATAATATCGAAACAATAACGTTGTAAACGTTGTCACGACGATGTGGGGTTCTCATGGTATCGTGGTTGTCAGCAATAGGTACTTCATCAACTTCATTGTTCGTTTGTAGTTGCTTACTATTGGCTACATTGATGATTATTAGACAGACATGTTATGACCAGATAACATTTATAATAATGAACAAATATAACACCGATTCATGTCCAATCAAACCCACCAAAAAGCACCCCATTGTTTCAGAAGCCGTTCAAAACAAGATAGAAATGAAAAAAAGATTATGAATAATGTAACAGATAATCAGATCCATACATGGTCACTTACCGTCTATTTTTGGGGTTAAACTGTTGTTTTATTTGCATTAATTCATTTTTTTAAGAATTAAAACTTTAGACCGAAAGGGTAGGTCGAGCGCATGATCAAGATCACCAATATTGATGCAGCAAATTGGGGCTTCGAAACTCACGAGAATTTGATAAAGATCAGCAATATGGCACTGGTTGGTTAAGAATCGGGTGCAAACCATCATGGCCTAATTCAATCTGATACGACTATATTACGTTCAGAGGTAGATTCAAGTGGTTGGAATGGGACATGGCGTGAATTTTGTACAAAGATGCACGAACACATTAAAAAACTAAAAAAAAAACAAGTGTATTGAAACGTTTTTCCTTCGTTTTTGGATTTATTTTCTGAAAAAATACATATCTTGAGGGTAATCAAATAAATTAAATAACTGGACCGAGGCTACAGGGCGGTCTTGGGGGTGGTGGAGGTCTTGTCTTCATCACTTGTCTCTCCAGCTCCTTGACCAGGCGCCCGGGTGGTGGAGGAGAGACTTGGGGGTGGTGGAGGTCTTGTTTTCATCACTTGTCTCTCCAGCTCCTTGACCAGGCGCCCGGGTGGTGGAGGAGAGACTCGGGGGTGGTGGAGGTCTTGTTTTCATCACTTGTCTCTCCAGCTCCTTGACCAGGCGCCCGGGGATGCCGATGTCTCTGCGGCGTTGACAAGAGGCGTTGAATGTTATTTCGCTATTACATTAAATTCAATGATTCTTTATAAAAGAAGACCAGTCAAAGAAAAAGGATATTGTTTAATTTTACTTATAGTTCCGAAGAAAAGATCCCCTTTGCAGTCGAAAATGGCTTAAGCATAATGAATTTGGTTTAAATGGCATTATTATTTTTAGACTGTCAATAATACCAGTTTTAGATCAACTTGAGCAAAACAAATTGAATTATTTGCATTGAGTTCGAAAATTAACAATAGTTACTTCACAATATTTGTATTTTTCCAGAGCGCGTTTTAGACGACGTGAATTAGAGAGGAAAATCTTGAGGAAGTGACATTGCTCGAACGTAGATAAAAATTTAACAGTTGTTCACACTTTTGCTTAATGATCTGAATTAGACGAAAAATTAATTCGGACGAGTAGGACCATAAAACTGACTAATTAAGTGTTCAGCAAATTATTGTCGTGATATATGAGGCGTCATCACCGATAACCATTTCTTTCAGATATGGCTGGAAAAATCTTTCATCATCTCCCTATAATTAAAGCAGCATTTAATTAACAAGGAAGCGTGTTTGTTTTCCCCAAAGAAATTAGGACCAATATTCCCTACCCACAAAATTTTACTCTATAGGACAACACGCTTACAATGCAGAGGCTTAGGTGAAGTTAACAAGGACTTTAAAGACTTGAGTAGTGAGTGTTCTGTTTGTTAAACCAACCAGAAAAAGAATTTTACAAGCCTAAGCCTTGTCGCTGAGAACCTTTCCGCGGCGCGGAAACATATTTCAATTAAGGTGAGGCTTGACGGCCATAAAGTCTAGCTCAGACTCTCAGTCAACTGCTGCTCGACGGACGCAATTGCGTCGCACAGTTTGGCTGACAGCTCAAGGCGGGTAAAATTATTGTGGGTGTGCTGTAAAAAATGAACCTTAATCTATCAAGATATTTCCGAGTCATGTGCGTTCTGAAAGCTGCTATTCTACGTTCAACGACACTACTATTCTCACTTGAAGGAGCGGGAATCAACAGAGAATGTATCAAGGTCGAACGCCCGTCGATGCACTTCATGTTCATAACAATTAGGAGCGTAAACTAAAACTGAAAACAACCTTAGCAAACACGTCCCATTAGCTACCTCCTCGCACAACAGAGGGAGTAGCACTGTAGCACAACCGATAACATCGCGCCATTTAGCGAATATTAAAAATTAAATTCTTCTAATGAACCTTGTATTTAAAATATGATGCTCATCTGTCTTTAAATGATCAATAGCTAAGACGCATCAATGTAATACCATGTATATACGTATAGTAAAAGTATTGGTTGTGAATAGTTTTGGATCGGTTGTTTCTTTAGGGATAAATATAATCACCGTTTTCAAATGCTTGCCGTTTTTGTTTATAGAAATACAGTTGTGCGCATTGCGCATCAGAGTGCGTCGTTTTGACGTCTCCGGAATTTTTAATCCAGAATGACTGAGCATACAGGGAGTAATAATCGTTTAAAAATCTATTTGCGCATCCAACTCATTCGGCTGTATGAATAAACAACGTCCATTTATTCATTGGGCAGTTTGAAATTTTAGCTTCTGTACTTGGCTTCCGGCTAGCGATTTTTAGAAATAGAAATTTGACTTGGTTAAGTACATAAGACTGGTATGTAAACTGCTTCCAGTTCTTAAATTCTTGAAATTATACATGGACTGGCTCGCTGGCTCGTCAGCGTGTGATTATTTTCCATTCTCCTGTTTTTAGTTTGTAAGTTTAGGATTTAATATCTGTTCTTTGAATTTTCGTTGAACAAATTGACAAAATGGAGTTTTGAACTTACGATGGAGCTGTACTCCGACGCTTTTTTTAGAATAAATGGTTAATTTCTGTAACATTGTGTTTGCTCTACCTTTTAAATTAGGAACTATCTTTGTTTTTTGACAGGTGCAACGAGTCGATATTTTCATCTGATTGATTAACTTCAATACACTGAGGAACTATTATATTAGATAAACAATCAAATTGAAATATTTCTAAGGTAATTAGGTAGAGTCATCATTGCTCATGATGATTTGCAACGATTCATACTATCAAGAGAGCAGTCGTATGTGTTCCCACGTCTGTTTTCGCAATCTCAGAATATTCTATTAATACGCAATTTTATCTAATTGGGTCATCGAAAACATGATTAGTTTTGTCCTACATGAATAAAAGGAGATTATTTCTCAATTGGACATTATTTTCGACTCTTCCCTCCAACATGAAGATGTTTACTGGGTTGTCGCTTGCATTTGTGGCGGTCTTATCCTTAGTTTCAGAGGGGAACTGTGACGGTAAAGTAATTTGAGACGTTGAATATATGTTTCGAGTGTTGAATATATTTCGTACAGAAAGAAGGTTTGATTCATACAGTGTTAATTCATCCAAACGATAAACAATTATTGCCTCTTATCAAATTTATTATTATTACAATGAAACAATTACAGTAAAAATGTTATTTCTAAGCAATAACCCCAAATATTGTAGTATGTGATCTTGATTATGCATTATTATTGGATTCGGATTATATAATGAATATTATTCAACTTCAAATTTAAGTTCTCTCCTTTTCATCACCGAATTGTTAATTCAGACATAAAGTCCATTTATCAAACATTTGAATTTAACATCTGGCAACAATATTCTATCTAATAAAGATTTTTATTGTTTTTATGCTTGTCTCTTTGATTCATGGGTCTGTAAATGTAGATGCTAATAGAGCGAGTATCCTGAATTCTTCTCGCGTCGGAATAATAACAGGATTCAATAATTTTTTACACAGCATTAGGGAGAATAGTAATTATTGCCAAGAACAGGGTTCTAAGATCTCAGGGAATCAAGTAGCGGTTTTTTAAACTAAATTTATAATAGAGACAAGTTTCAATTTTCGTATCTTTCCACAACTGAAATAAATATGAGTACAACGGTATACGTGGGCTTAAGAGGAGCTTTTTTTTAATAATTATAATTTGAATTTATAGTTATTGAGGGGATTTGGAGGCGTTTTTGGGTGACGGGATTCGAGATTCCGAATGACGGGTTTACAGTGAGCGCAGAGACTCTTGATGATAGGATTAGGATTGCCGAGATTCAGGGTAACGTATTCTCAGAACTCATGGATTAGCTTTCCCGAGCACTGCTGATTTAAGCTGCTGGATTTCATCTTAAATGCTTCGTCTATGCCCGATTTATATTTATTTTTGTTTGAAAATTAAAAAAATGTGTTGCCAGAACGGTTATTATGTTAATGCTGAATCGTGCTAGTGGCAGTATTTAACGAATTCTGAGCAAACGGTGGTCCACTGAAACTATAGGGTTATTTTAGCCAGTTCTGTGCGCTTTAAAAGTGTTGTAATTATTTTTCCTCGAATGAAAATGACATTTGAGCCAGCGATATGATTTTTAGATTGCAATTCAATGTATATGTACATATATTTAGTTTTTCCCATTCAAACAGCTTTCAAATACAATTTTTCTTCTCAATGTACAGGAACTGAGAATGCAACGAATTCTCACTACTTTCATGCATACACGGACGCAGGTGACGATTACAAATTCACCACAAACGTCCCAGATTTGAGTGTTTACAATATGGACAACAGAATCACTAGAGCCTGTCAAACGGGATTGTGAGTATTTAAATTATATACTGAGTTAATATATAGTGGTGAGAACAGATTAGTAGTATATTCATCAAATAACCTTTCATTAATAGCCCATTTCTCTCAACAGGTGGTTACTGTATTCAAACACCGACTACGATTACTACGAGCCTGGTTTCGGAACTTGCGAGCCTGCCACCGGTATCGATATCTGTGCTGATATGGGCGGTTGCATGCGGGTACAAATATTGAAAGATCAGCATTGTATTATACTTTATCTAAGTTTCAGTACGCATCTGGATTTCAAGTTTTAATTGGTGATTTGTATGGAGGCGAATTATTATCGCTTCTTCTACCCGTGTATTGGCTTCAAGCCTGACGGCTATTGACCTGCTCATATGAAATTATAATGTACATGGTGTATCTTATACACGTTATTGGTTAGGCACGACCATCAAGAAACATTAAGTGATAATTTAATTTACCTCATTCAACTGATTTGGTAAACACTAAGAAAGGAGTCCACATGAGGTACTGTAATATTAAAAATGGTACCTCAGAGGACAAACTAAGCTTTAGATTCCGGGCAACAGTAAGTTTTATGTGTTCGTTAATGACCATGAACGTCAATACTTTGTAATGGTATTGTTATTGATCATCGTTATTCGAAGCTCACACAAATTAATGCTTGGCATCACCCAAAAAATTCTGTATGAGACTTGCCACACGAGCTCGCGGCTTTCAAATGAGTTGTAGAATGAATAAGCGAGAAATATCGAACGAAGTTAGATTTTAGCTCATTTTCTTATTTATGAAAGAAAATGTCCGTCTGTCCGTCCGTCTGTCTGTCCGTCTGTCTGTCCGTCCGTGACTTCATGTTTTCGTCGACGAGAAAATGCGCTCTCTGTCACTCACTGCAGTGAGTACTGAGATATATTTTTTACTTTATTCCACTAATAATTTGTGGTTGGATAAACACTGCATAGTAAGTTCCATCTCCTTACATAAAATAAGATTGAAATAAAGTCCAACACATTAACACGTAATTAAAAAAGTCGATATTTGCTTGTCTTTAAAACTAAATCCAGCCCCCTGGACCAAGGAAATTGCCTTGTTAAACAAAATTGTTCAAATAAGAGAATTAAAAACTCTAGAAGTGAAATTGGTTTGATGTGCTAACTAAGCTCATTAACTGTAGTGCTGCTTCCTTCCAGCTCAAATGAGACTCATCGCTCTTATTCCCTAATTAATTAATTTTTACATTTAATAAACATGCATCCAAGTCGTAACAAAAGCTGACCTTGTGGCGCCGCATAGCATCGCAAAATATAATAAAAATTAATAATAAATCCTGAATTGCTCCTACGATATGAACTCGAAAAAATTCTCATGATCACTATACTCATAATAAGCAACCCTTATATTTATTTAAATCCATCAATATACAGGGTGAACCAGAATTAACTGACCCTTTTAATTTGTTAATAAATAAAAAACTAAGAACGTTATGAAGTTGAAACTTGTTTCATTTAAAAGAAGAACATTTTTATGGTAATATTGTATCCTATTTAAAATATTGTATCCTATTACAATATTTTATTATTGTATTAGTTAAATATTTATTATGTATTAATAATATGTATTAGTTAAAATATTGTATGTAATATTGTATCCTAGTTAGTTATTGTATCCTAAAAACTAGGATGCAATATTACCATAAAAATGTTCTTCTTTTAAATAAAAGAAGTTTCAACTTCATAACGTTCTTAGTTTTTTATTTATTAACAAATTAAAAGGGTCAGTTAATTCTGGTTCACCCTGTATAACCAGTTTTCATCGATGTTTTCTCTCAGGCATCTTCTCTCCGGTATGCTGGGAGTCCCTACGGGCTTAACGAACCTTATTACAATCTTTATTCAAGCGGAGCTTTCGTAGGCCTAGAATTTGCCGGAAACCACACTACGCCGACGGTCGATAACCCGAACATGAAAGCGTATTCAGTTATCATCTCTGGCACCGATAGCTGGACTCTATTTGAGTAAGTCTTCCCTCCAGCAACAGGAGCCAATTACAGCACAGGACGTTTCAGCCTTCGATGGCTGAACTTTTTTACGTAAGTCTTCCCCCAGCAACTGAATCCCAGCACAGCAGGACGTTTCAATCTTAACTACTTCTTTAGTAGTCTTAACTACTCCTTTAGTGGTCTTAACTACTTCTTTAGTAGTCTTAACTACTCCTTTAGTGGTCTTAACTACTCCTTTAGAGGTCTTAACTACTTCTATAGTAGTCTTAACTACTTCTTTCAAGCACTTCTGTCCCCTATTGCCTCTACTCTGGATGTTAATTCTCTTCCTAATCTTCAGAACATTGCATGTTCGCAAAAACTATTGCTCAATATTTATTTCCATGAACTCATTAGTCTTTAATATCTCAGATAAGTTACATAAAAATTCGGTGCAGGTTAATTCCAAATTGAGGGAACGTCAACTAATCGAACGTCACCTTGCTCAATAAACGCATTTTTTATAATCTGAGTCACTACGTTTATTGCTTACATCATTTCGAAGCAATGTACAAATATCTTTTATATTCTGCTATTTTAATTCAATATGCGTCGAGTTATTATTGCTGTAAATCGTTTGCCGCAGGGGACCCGACTTCACGGGTGCTTCAGTCTGTGCCATTCCCGACCAAGTCTACCAAGGAGCAGATGGCACAGTAATAAACTACGGCGAATTTTGGAACGTGGGTTCTGCAAGAAATGCTTCATTGAAAAAAAATCTTCATGATTTTCTATTTGTATTTAGTTGAAGTCTGAAAATAATTACTAATTACAAGGTTGCTATTTCAAATTCAGTATTACATGAATCCAAATGGATGAGTCAACCGATGAAATCACGAGGGCCTCTCTCTGAGAAAAGAGAGAACAGTTGTAAGGTTAGATCCACTGTCGCAAATAAATTTTATGGTCATGAGCAGTATTTCTCACTATCATTTTAATCAGTAACCTGAAATCATAGTTAAGGCCTACGTAAAATATTACAAAAGAATATACAAATATTATTTCAAAATTTCACAGTCGCATGATCATGAAAATGTACTGACAATTTCGCCACTCTCTCAACATTTTTGAACGTTAGCGAATCTAGAAGCATGCAGAGGGCCTAACATCAAACTTCCAATTGCGTACCTCATACATTCGCGTATCCGCATCAACATCAACCAAAACAAATGAAACAAAAGGAACTTGATTTGTTACACAGTACTCAGGATGTACGATTAAAGTGACAATACATTATATTTCAACAGGCGAATGAATTAAACCTCCGGGACAACTCCATCAGATCCCTGAAGCAAGGCTGTCATAGTGACACTGTCGTCAGCGCCAAGGCTGTGAAAGACAAGAGAGAGAAGGAAGCAAGCGGTGGCAAGTAATGTATTGGATTTAAAGTCCCTACTTCGAGAACTGAGAAGCAGACGTTGTTTTTCTCATACAATTCAATTTGAAGGATTTTATGACTATGAAAATTGTTGCTTAGAGAGTTTTACGCAATTATTGCTCTTATCCGTTTTCGGAGGAAAAAAATTTTTTCAGCAGCTTTTTTCATGCCATTTTCATTGAAGTTTAACATGCAGAGATTTTATCTGTTATTTATGCTGTTATGATAATTTTTCGTCGGGAAAATATCTTGTGAGCGTCATTTTGTGTCTATTTGGCTGCGTTTTTCTTTTGGCGTGCGCGTTTGAAATATTCAGTTATCAAAATATCAGTTTATCAAAATGGCAAACTATAACAATTATAAACTAGCATTTTAAAAACATTTTGCTAAATAATCACAGATGTAACCGGTCATTGTCCATGCATTATTTATAATATCCTCGTGGCGTGGACCGATATTAGTCAATAGTGTTGATTTTTTCATAGTGTCTATCAACACTATTAGTGTTGATTGATAACACTAATTTCAATTTGCGCCTACCTACACTATTAGTCAACAGTGTTGATATGCGCAGCCTCTCCTCTCCCATGACTCATCTTATGTGAAAATTCATGCTAGAGAGAAATCGTAATGAAAATAATTTACGATTACATGGCGAATATACTAATAAATTATTGGAATCGTTATGTAGCAATAACGAGAATTGTCTTTTCTCATTTATAGTTGTGCAGAATTATTCACGATGTATGGGGACAATCAAGCGTAAACCAGAGCCGACCATAAATAAGAGCTGAGCGTCAAGAAATTTTATGAAAGCCATTCTTTCACAAAAATATACATATGATCTAAAATATTCTTACTGGAGAAATGAATAGAATATACGGTGCTTCCCAGATAAGTAATAAATGACATCTAGAAATAATTACAAGTTCTTCAGGGACAAAAAATGGGACAAAGAACAACAAATTATTTGGGTGTAAGGAATAACAAGTTATTCTGGAGACAATTAAGGTGGCGGAAGTATCATAAAAAAGGAAGGTAATTCAATTTTAAATAGAAAGCTTCTAGATATTCATATATACCACATAAATGTTTCCAGCCAATTGTTGTTTATTCTTTATTCTTTCACACACAGAAGCAACACAGCATGACTCAATAGAAAGAGAAAAAAAACATATGCTATTTGGTAACAAAAGCTTCCAGGTGAAAAGCCCATACTAGCTATAAAAAAGCTTCGCAGGCGTAATTGGTAACAAGTATGAACGTAATATAGTGGCAACAAGTACAACGAAAATTAAGACAAATATTATATTGTAAAGTAGAGGCAGTATATAAGTAAATTGGCACAATAAAAAAACTATATGATGAACAAAGTTAAATTAATATTGATCAAGAATATGATAACGAAATTTTGTCATTAAAATGGATTTAGAACAGTTTATTTTGAAATCATCAGGCAGTTCATTAAAATGTTTTACACAATTAAAAACAGTACCATTTTTCTCTATTTCTAAACGGGCCGGTGGAAGGTTGAGACGAATGCCTCTGGTATTACGGAAATGATGAGGAACAAGAGGAGCAAAAAAAAACTTTCAAAAAGACGCTGATCATGAAAAAGTGCCCTATTCATAAACTGTAAAAGCTTAAATTTGTACATGTCGTCGAATTTCAGGATTTACACTGTCTATATAATTCATTAGTACGTATCAATAGTACATAGTTAACATATCGAAACGTAAGGATTGACCGCAGTGTCCTGTTCATCAACGTGATAACCGTTTTTTTGTACAGAGGCATTTCACCCCATATTACATGGGGATTAGAAAATTTAGATTAAAGCAACAAATAAAAGAGCGTTTTTAACGAGGAGAAAGGCAAGATACTTGATAGAGCATGTAACACTCCCTGGGCTTTGCTAAGTCCCTGGCAAACGGAAGTAATATGTTTTTTAAAAGACATTTTATTGTCAAGGATTAAGCCTAAATAACGAAAATCGTCCACCCATTCTAAAATTGATCCATTAAAAGTGATGTTCCGAGGGGCGACAACAGGTCTAGACGTAAAAAGCATCAGTTTAGTTTTATCGGTGTGTGCCATTAACTTATTTACTAACAGCCATCTTGACAAGTCTGCTGACAGATCCGAAATGCTATCACACGCTTCATCGTAGGTACCGTTCCAGATATAAAAAACGGCATCATCAGCAAAAAGCTTGCAGTTCGCATTAAAATATGAGGCGATAAAATATTACAAAGAAGAGGACCCAGAACAGAGCCCTCGGGTACTACAATCGTGATTGGTCTTGAGGGCGATTTGTACTCGCACAATGAAACATATTGTTCTCTATTGGTTGGACATGACTTTATCAATGCATAAAAAGGGCCTCTAAAATACCATAACGGTAGAGTTTGTTCAAGAGAATTTGATGGTTCACGCAGGTCAAGAAAAAGAGCAATACAGTAATTTTTGCATGGAATTCCTTAAGTAAATCTTGGACTAAGTAAAATATAGCCATTGTAGTGTTGGTGCTCTTACGGAATCCAAATTAACTATCAGATATTAAATAAAATTTGTCATGGAAATTCGTAAGTCTAGAGTGAAGAATTTTTTCAAAAATCTTATTAAAGGAAGGGCAAGGTAGATAAGAGTCGATAGTTGCATACGTTACTTGAGTTGCCAGACTTAAAAATCGGTATGACACGAGCATGCTTCAGTACATCAGGATAAATTCCAGTAGACATACACATATTAAAAATATGAGCTCAAACAGGCGCTATTTTATCGGCAACCTCGCACAATACTCGTGGCTGAATTTCTTCAACGTGAAGCCTCTTGCCTTTGCACAATCGTAACAAGCTCTTAACCTCAGATGCAGAAGTAGGAGATAGGAAGCGTGACGCGTCACAGAACGGAACACCACAAGTCGTATTACCCTGCACCGGACCTAGATCTTTAGTTATGTCATTCGCGACGGAGACAAACAAACGACAAGAAACAGTGACGACAACAAGGCTAGCAGTAGAGACTGGGGACAATAGCGTCTAGAGGAATAACCTCTGAAACAGAGGAAAAGTTATGATCCGCGCAGCTGATTTATGGCGAAATAGAACACACGAAAACTCAATAGAGGTCATCAAGGAGCAATTAATTCATATATTAATTTCATGGATGCTCCATCTACTTATCTATTACGTTCTATATGGATGGTAATATCACTCAATGTCAAATGCTAACTGATCATTCAAAAAATTTCTTCATTCAAAATTACGGAGTCCCTGTTAATATTTGATCATCAGGTCTCTACTCTACGGTTATTTTGGGTATTTTGCGTTCAAATTAAGGGATAGTCGTTCAGTAATAATCAATGAATAAATATTGACATATCAAGAATACTTGCAGAAGATTTGATTTTTGAAGTCTATTTTGATCCGCAACGAATCAACAGTAAAATTGGAAACGCTGTTCAATATCATATAAACATTTGAATGCTATCTTATAATCGACCCTAGGGTTGGGATGTCAAGGCAAGCGAGACAACATCAAAGAAAAGTCAAAAACTTTTGCTTGCACAAGGAAAATAAAGTGAGAAAACAGGGTAAGGGAATATGTGATCAGTATAACTGAAAACGGGCCTGTTTTATTCGTCGCGTTTATAAACGATCTGCCAGAAGCTGTGTCTAGCGTGTGCTCGATGTATGCTGACGACACAAAAAT